TGACTCCAATTAAAAAGACTGAATGCGGGAAGCTATGAAAAAAACACATATTTTGGAAATTTGAAACTTTATTAAAACAGTTTACAAGTCGTAGAAGAAATCACAATGGATATCTGAGTTCCTGAGGGGGCCTTATAATCAGCATGCCTCTTTGCCACCTGGGTTCTAAATAACTTGAGAAATAAGATCATGAACTGGCAAGTGGAGGCAGGTGGAGCAGCTAACTCAGTGGAGAAAGAAAGAGAGCTTTTTACTGAACCATAGGATTACAATACTTTACCCACTCAGATATAGACAAAAACGACTCTGGAACAGAGCTGGCCTTCCCTTCCCCCTCCCCCAGAAGTGCAGAACCAGGTCTGGAGGAGCTGAAGACAGGCTGGCCCCAAAAGAAAGGGAGAGCTCAGCCAAACATGCCCTAATTTCTTCTTCCCAAATGTACCACACAGATAAGATACTGACTTCATCTCTTTGCCAAAAAAGCTAGGAGTTGCAGCTGAAGTGATTGTTAAATTTATAACCTAAATGCATATACTAGAAAGAATAAATAATAGTAAGCATTCAGCTGAACAAGCTAGAAAAGCAAAGCAATATATCTAAAGTAGAAGGCAGAAAATGATGCTAAGAGCAGAAATTCATGAGGTAAATAAAAAAGAAAGTAAAGACTTTAGAACGTAAGTTCCACTGGAATGTAAGCCGCCCGACATCAGGGCTTTGTACCTCTGTTGTTCACTGCTGAGTCTCGGACCCTAGAGCAGCGCCTGGCTCATAAGAGGTGCAGAATAAACGCTGTCTGAAGGAAAGGGAAAAACTCTCCAAGTCTACTTCTTTGAAAGACCGAACAGATGAACTTCTGACATCATGAAAGGCACAGATGGATAGGAATAAAGAGAACTCATTCCACATAGAGTAGAAATTCCTGTTATATCTATATAAATATAAATAACTTTATGCCACTATACTTGAAAATAGAAAAACTAGACAATTTCTTAGAAGTATAATTTAGTATGAAGAAGCAGACAACCATCTTAATGTCCAGGTAACTATGAAAAAGATCAGTAGGCCTAGATGATGTTATAGGCAACCTTCACCAAAAGGTCAAGTAATAGATAATCCCAATTTTATAAAAACTACTTTAGAAAACAGAATACAAGGGAAAGCTTTAGTTTTATGGGGCTAGTTTTATCTTGTCTAGTTGTTTTTATGTTATTTTAAGTTTCGGTAAAATACACATAACTTAAAATTTGCCATCTTAACCATTTTCAAGTGTACAGTTCTGTGGCATTAAGTACATTCACATTGTTGTGCTACCATCACCACCATCCATCCATAAAACTCTTTTCATCTTGCAAAACTGAAACTCTGTACCCATTGAACAATAATTCCCCACCCTTCCCTCCCCATAGCCCCTAGCTACCTTTCTATTTTCTGTCTCTGAATCTGATGACTCTAGGGACCTCATACAAATAGAATCATACAGTATTTATCCTGCTGTAACTAGCTTATTTCACTTAGCATAATGTCTTCAAGGTTCAACCATGTTGTAGTATACGCCAGAATTTCCTTCCTTTTTAAGGATGCATAATATTCTATTGTATGTATATACCACATTTTGTTTATCTATTCACCCACTGACTGACAACTGGGTTGCTTCCACCTTTGGCTATTGCAAATAATGCTGCTATGAACATGGGTGTACAAACGTCTGTTGGACTCCCTGCCTTCAATTCTTTTGGGTATGTACCCAGAAGGGGAATTGCTGGATCATATGGTAATTTATGTTTAATTTTTTGAGGAACTGCCATACTGTTTTCTATAGTGGCTGGTCCATATAACGTTCCTACCAACAGTGCTTTACTCTAGCCCCATAAAACTAAAACTTTCCCTTATCTGGACATTCAGATTGCTAATATTTTATTTAGGATTTTTACGTCTACGTCCAAGTATAAAACTGACTGACCCATTTTAGAAATCTGAATAATCCAAAATGCAAAAACAAAATTTATACATCATAATCAAAGGCAGCTTATTCTAGAAATAAAAGGACTTTTTAAGTTTGCAAAACAAATTAATGTAATCCAACATAAGAACAGAGTAAAAGAGAGAAAAACCCATGGTCACTACAAAATCCCCATGATATACTACAGTTCAGCACCCATTCATTATTAAAAAACACAAAAAGCAAATAAAAATTTGGCTTCTTTATTTCTAATCCTTCCATTACTGGGGTTCTTTTTTCTTGTTTTACCAGGAAATACAGCACAATGTTAAACAGGAGGTACAACAATAGCCATCCATTTTTTGTTCCTGACTTTCAAGGAAAGGCTTCTAATAATTCACCATTTAATGATGTTCATTTTAAGTTTTTATTCAATAATCCTTGTTAGCTTGAGGGTATTTACTTCTACTCCTGGTTTGCCAAGGCTATTAGTTTGTTGTTCTAACCTTTTATACCTCCTTGCTTCTAGGCCGAAAACCCCAAAGAATCAATAATTTCAAATTACCAGAATAGGAGAATTCAGCAAGCTTGTAGATACAAGATTAATATATAAAAATCAATAAAGTCCAGGGTCCAAATCATGGTTTCTATCTACAACTCTTCAATAATAGAAACCAGGGTTCCTTGGAGAAATGTCTGATTCTAGGGCTAGGGCAAGAAAATGTAAGATGAGCCTGAAGCTTCTTAGAGCACTGGACACTAAAGAAGTGCTTGCAGGGCCAGCCCCATGGCCTTGCAGTTAAGTTGGTGCACTCCACTTCAGCAGTCCGGGTTTGCAGGTTCAGATCCTGGGTACAGACCTATGCCACTCCTCAGCCATGCTGTGGCGGTGACCCACATATAAAATAGAGGAAGGCTGGCACAGGTGTTAGCTCAAGGTTAATCTTCTTCAAGCCAAAAAAAAAAAAAGGAAGATTGGTAACAGACGCTAGCTCAGGGCTAATCTTCCTCAGCAAAAAAAAAAAAAGAAAAAGAAAAAGAAAAAAAAAAGAAGTGCTTGCAAAATACAAGGATGGGTTGAATCCAAGGGACATAGGACCCAGCCTATCAGAGCTCCCAATGGACAAAGTTCACACAATTTAAACAACAAAAATAAGTAATATAGTATTAGATTATAACCCAAAGTATAAAATAAAAATACTTGAGTACATATTAATATAAATAAATGATTGAATAAATAAATGACAAGAGGAGACAGATCTTCCTTACAAAAGAATTTCAAATAATATATGTAGATACTCCCCTGCTCCAGTAAGTGGAGCTTAATTCCTGCCCCTTCTCACCTTTAAGGTGGGTTATACTTAGTGCCTCACTCCCAAAAAAAGAATAGAATAGAGAGAGAAAAATATTAACTTTATAGTGGAGAAACTGGCAAACACTACCTTAACCCAGGGATGAAGGTTAGCATCATCAGTGGTTTTATGCAGATATCATGTGCCCCCTGACATGATATGATGAGATGGGCACTGGACTGGACCTCTGTGATTTTCTTAAAAACCTATAACCCAGTCTAATCACAAGAAACATGAGATTGAGGGACATTCTACAGGATACCTGGCCAGGACTCCTCAAGACTGTCAAGGTCATGAAAAACAGAGAGTGAGAAACTGTCATAGGTGAAAGGAGATAGGGAAAACATGATTAAACTAAACACAATGTGGTACCCTGAACTGGATCCTGGAACAGAAAGGGGCCATGAAATGGAAGAACTGGTGAAATCATTACAAATTCTGGAGTTTAGTGACTAGCAATATACCAATGTCAGTTTCTTAGTTTTGATAAACGTAGCATGGTAATGTAAAATGTTAATAATGGGGGAAACTAGATGAGAGACGTAAAGGAACTCTCTTCTTTGCAATTTTTCTGTAAATCTTAACATTATTCCAAAATTAAAAGTTTATTTTAAAAAATTAGTGTTTTATATCCTAATAATAACCAAGTAGAAAATGTAATTTCAAAAAAGTCTAACAAAGGACATGCAAAATGTTTACAGAAAAGAAATTATTAAACTGATGGATACAAAAGACCTACATAAATGAAAAGAAATATCACAGCATCACAGGTAGACTGAACTTTTCAAAGATGGCATTTAATCTTTAATCTGTAAATTCAATACAATAATAAACTCAATGGATGTTAATATAAATATTCTTCATGAAAAATAAACAAAAAAGTGAGAATAGTGGGGTTGTTTTATATCTTTGCAAATCTCTTTAAATATCTGTCTTAACAGAATCAGAGGGATTCTCATATCTGCTTCTGCCTTCAGTTTGTTTTGACATCACACACCATGTAGCCTCTAGAAACCTACACTATAAACCATGAAAGAACAAGAGGGACAAAGGCATTGCAAAAATAATTGTGACCCTGCAGACCCACCAAGAGTCCTGTGACCATACTTTGGTAACTACTGTTTTGGAGAAAAAAATATGTCATCCCCCTTAATCTACCACTACCTAGATTCTACAATTAATATTTTACTATACATTTTATCATGTACTTATCCATGTCTCTGTCTACCCATCAATACGTCTTTTTTCTCTTAATTTTTTACAATGCATTTCAATGTAAGTTGCAGGTATCAGTATACTTCCCACAAAATATGTCAGCATGTATATCATTACTTAAGAGTTATGGTTTTTGTGCAGTTCTTTTTGGGTAAAATTTACTTACAATAAAATGCACAAAATTTAAGTATACAATTTGGTGATTCAGACATTTGTGCAAACCAAACCCATCTCAAGACACAGAACGTGACTCTCACCCTAGAAAGTTCCCTCGTACCTTTCTCAGTAAATCCTTCACCCCTCCCCAGCCCTCCAGAAGCAATCTCTGTCCTGATTTTTTTCTATCCAGATTATCTTTGCCTTTCCCAGAACCAGTCACATAGATGGACTCATACAATATGTACTCTTTTATGTAAGGCTTCTCTCACTCAATACAATGTTTTTTAGAGCCATCCATACTATTTTTTAAAAGTATTTTAAATTAATTTACTTACCATGAAAATGACTATCAAGATGAGGCAGATGCCTACTATGATAAGGAAGGGGATTAGGTAGTATTCCAGAGGCAGACTAAATTCTGGAACTAAGAGAATGTGGCCCCTGGAAGAAAAAAAAAATTAATAATTGAGAAATACTAAGAGTTGTCAAATATATGTTAATTAAAAACATATAAAAATATTTTTAAAAGTTATTTAGACATTACAATTCAATCCACTAGACACATCTCAATTGCGAATATATGATTTCCAATATTTTAAGGGATCCTTTTTCCATCTTTAAGGCTATTTTACATATTTGCCAAAATAACTTCCCTACATAATTAAAAGAAGCTTTATACTGGGTAGAGGAAATCAGCCAACCAATACTTACCGTGTCCATCCTGGAAACACATTATTTACTGAATTTAGTAACCTGGGTAAAAGTTTGCATATTTTACATGCAAAATCAGCATTTAAAAAATGGTAGTACCCAAGCCAGCCCTGATGGCCTAGTGGTTAAAGTTCGGCACACTCCACTTTGGTAGCCCGGGTTCAGTTCCCAGGTGTGGAACCACACCGTTTGTCTGTCAGTAGCCATGCTGTGGCAGTGGCTCACACAGAAGAACTAGAAGGACCTACAACTAGAATATACAACTGTGTACTGGGGTTTGGGGGAGGTTAAAAAAAGGGAAGATTGGCAACAGATGTTAGCTCAGGGCCAGTCCTTCCCTGACAAAAAAAAAAAGGCAGTCCCTTGGGTAGGATGTCAACAAGAACCCCACCCCAACCAGATGACTGTTCATTGGTTCCTCCTACAGAAACACTCTGGAGCCACCACTGATGAAAACATACTCCCTCCTCCCTACACACTTTACAAGAACTTGTACCAGATACAGTGGACATAGCCCTGTACTCTACATCCACTTGGGAGAGACGGAATGGAAAACTGGTAAAGGAATCCACCAGAGCTGTAGCTTCCACTCTATTCTCCACCTTCTCCATTGCTGGACTGAAAAAAAGTACAAAACTGTGTATGCTGTGGAGGGAGGGGTGGAAAGTGTGACATGCCTTATTCCCCTTTGTTATTAACCACGTTATTAGTTACTGTGATATTACTATTATAAAAATTGACAGGGATTTGTGACATGAAACTGTAATCAGAATAGGCACAGCATCTGTGTTGCACAAGCAAATTTTACAAGACAGCAAAATCCTGCATTAGAAAATATACTCAGTCTAGGGAAGGCTCTCTACCACGGTCAGTAATAGGACTGACTTCTCCATTGTACTCCTGTCTGCTTGACTAGTATGGTGCCAGCAACACGACTTTGTTACCCACTGTTCAGTGATTTTTGTAGGTACCCAAGCTAGGTACCTCATAACACAAGAGGTTAAATGCAAAACAAAAATTCACAATATAAAGGGAAATAAAAACAGGTTGACTCCTTCCCCCATATACAGATGCTCAGGATACCGTAGTTCTTAAGAAAAATAACATGAAAGCAAATTATTTCTATACCAAAACGATTTTTAAGACTTGATGCTATTATTTATTATATTCAAATCCAAGGAGCTCTATCAAGCTTCACCAGAAACAAAAATATACAAAACAGATAATACCAGGAATCCACCCCCCATAATTTAAACATTTTCTAAAACCTGCTAAGATTCCTACAATAATCTACTGCGCAGTAGGGTCTACTGCGTGTCCTACATTCAACCCATTGTGGCATCTAAATATTTCAGTAACAGCAAAGTCTACATCTCTGAAATTCTGTACTTTTCTTCTCCTTTTGTGTTAATGACTTCCAAAGGTTCATTTGGTATGGATGAGATAAACAAATAAAGACTGTCCTTTGAGGCAATCCCAGGGTTGCTCAGAAATGAAAATAATTGCCAGGTGAGAGGAAGTAAAGCTAAAAGAACAAAGCAGGAAGATCCAGTGAACCAGAAATTAAGAGACTTCACTGGAAACTTCCTGTGTGCACATAACCACAGAAAAGGAATCAGTTCCGGAATTTCCTAGTAAGCACTACTAGGATTCATAGGCCTGGGTTCTCAATCTAATGTTCTATATGTTCTATTAATGCTTGCCTACAATATCTCAAACCACTTTAGTTTACTGTCAAGATACATCATGAGGATTTTTGAAGGGTCTACAATTGATAGAGGGTTTTAAGCATCTTACATCAAAAGCTCAGTGCACATTCAAGATACTGCTTTTTCTTAACCAAACCGCTAATGGTAGAGGTGGGGACAGTGATGATACAGGGTGGAGAACTACAACAGAGTGTCAGTCCCCTAGCTTTATTTCTATTTCCTCTGTCCAGGCTCTACAGCTGAGCCTGCAGACTCATCCCTGGTCCTAATCCCAGATCACTCTGTATTTGAAGAAAGACATTTAAACAGCTTTAGTAAGTATCTTACCACATTCGCTCCATGTCCACCCCTAAACATAGTGCATTCCAAGAGCTCTGCAGCTAAGACTTGATCACTGAAGCAGAGCCCTAAGCAATCCAGGAAACAGTGTCTAACTCTCCTTTGCATGAGTTCCCAGGCTGATTTCAAACCAGGTGTCTAGGTCTAAACTTTATAACAACAATCTATCTAATTTCCTAATCCCTCTGTTGACACATGAGATCTTGCCTTCTTGTCTTTTGATATCTCATCCCCACCATCTTGGATCAAAGAACTGAGCCCCAGTGGATATATAGCCAAACACTAAAGCTTTCTTTTCTATAAACCAACTTTCCAGGCAATGACCTGTGATCAGCCCAACTGTTGGACACCTTCCTATTTCAGATGAATACTTGCTTGAACTTGCCATTTTCAGATAAAGCTCACAGCTCCTTCACCAAACATCCTACATCCCCTACTACACAGACGCATTGCTCAGTCCTGTGTCCCCATTTGTGGCACATCCTCTTTCGCTGCCAGTACACTGCTCTGTCTTGTTGAAGAATGCTGAGGTAGCACAATAGCAGTTTAACTTCACCTGCATTTACTGAATAGTGACTTGACGCAGTCACTGTACCCAGGGCTGGGGATGAGATATGAAAAACAGAGAGTCCCTAAATATGAGTGATGGAGATTTTAGAGTTGAAAGGAACTTTAAGGATTCTGTATTCAACTCCTCTTTTCCAAATGAGAAAACAGGTCCACAAAGATTAAATGATCCTCTAAAGGCCATACCCCAGCTGTCTCTGCAGTGCACCTTGCTAGCACTGTGATCAGAACCAATCCTTTCCCCTGCCCACAGTTGTCAAAAGTTGTATGTCATCCAACATGTTATCCTTCCTACTAAAAAAATGACAAAATGCTTTTAGAGTTCAATTTTTTAAAAGACCAAAATAGACAAAGGACACCAAACAGTATACTAGAATGTTCTCTATGAATAAAGAAACGCTAACTTGACTAATGAGTTTTCTTCTTTTTTCTTTAAGATTGGCACCTGAGCTAACATTTGTTGCCAATCTTCTTCCTTTTTTTTTCCTTCTTCTCCCCAAAGCCCCCCGGTACATAGCTGTACACTCTAGTTGTGAGTGCCTGTGGTTGTGCTATGTGGGACGCCGCCTCAGCATGGCCTGATGAGCAGTGCCATGTCCACACCCAGGAGCCAAACCTGCAAAACTATGGGCTGTCGAAGCAGAGCACACGAACTTAACCACTCAGCCACGGGACCAGCCCCTGAGTTTTCTTCTTATTAGAGTGGTGGGTAATTTAAAAAACTGATAATATACATTATTGGCATGAGTAGAGGAAAACGTGGGCTTTCCTAAAATATTGATGGAAACATAATTGGTTCACATTTTTTGGAGGGCATTTGTTTACTAAATGACAATTGTTTACTGAAATCTAAAACTGCTGTACTCCAACAATTCGACTTTCAAGTGCTTTTGATAAAGAAATGTTTGTATAACTGCACATGATATATGATCAAGGATACCGTCATAGAACTCTCTGAAGTGGACAAAAATTGGGAGAAGGGATTAAAAGTTAACATTTGTGAACCATTTACTATGTACCAGGTACTCCTGTAAGAATTTGATTAATGTTTTTAATCCTCATAGTAATGCTGTACTATTAATAACATCATTTTTAAAGATAAGAGGCTAAGGCCCAGAGATGATAAGTTTTCTGTTGAAGGTCACAAAGCTAAGAAGTGATGGAAGCCAGGATTAGAATCCACACAAGTCTGACTTCAGGGCCCATGCTTATAACCAGTGGCTTTACTAGTTAAGTAAGTAAAGGAATATCTAAACAATGGACTACTTTTAACATTAGTTAAGGAATGAACAGTAGTTAAAAAGAATGAAGTACAATAAAACAGAAGTTGATGGGTATTTTCTTAATATGATAAAAAGCCAGAATCTTACTTTAAGAGGAAACAAGAAACTTTCTCACTAAAGTAAAGAAGACAAAGATGCCTACCATCTCCATTCTTCTTTAACATGGTGTTGAAGGTACTGACCAATGCAGATAGATAAGAGAAAACAATTAGAAGCAGAAGAATTAACAAGAAAAAGATTAAGCTATTCCTATTGGCAATGGAAAAAATACCACCAGTGGTAAGAGAATTTAGTCAAATTACAGGTTATAAAGTCGATATACAAGAAAACCTCAGTAGATATAATGAAAGAGTAGACCCACTTATAATAGCAAAGAATAAAATATCTAGGCATAAATTTAAGAAGAAATGTTTTTCTCACACAGGTTTTGGACTAAAAAGATACCTCCGGAGTCTATAAAAGCAGAATTGAACAAATGGAAGGATATAGCATGTTCTTGGATAAGGAGACTTAACATCCTAAAAAAATCTCAATTCTCCCTTATTTAATTTATAAATATAATGTAATTCCAATAAAAATATCACCAGGCTTTTCTGGAGGTAGAAGACAAGTTGATTATTAAAATCCTTCGGAAGGAGAAAGTGGAACCCTCATACGCCGCTGGCAGGAATATAAAAGACTGCAGGCACTCTAGGAAAGAGTCTGGCAGTTCCTCAAAAAGTTAAACAGAGAGTTACCATATAACCAGCACTTCCATTCTAGGTATATATCCAACAGAAATGAAAACATATGTACACACAAAACTTGCACATGAATGTTTACAGCAGCCTTG